CATTCCACGCCTCAAATGTAATTTTGCAGCAACAATACAGAGCGAAAGGCTTTGTGAAATATTCTGAGATAATTTTTGTTTGCTGTTGGCTGAACAAAATAATGAATTGTTGATGAAAAATCATGAATCTAGACCCACGGGGTCTACTATGGTCCCTGAAATAAATGATGTAATATCTAAACAGGGAACCGGAATTGAAAACAGCCAAACATATGTGCGTGGATATACCTCGAGACGTGGCCGGGGTCGTGGACGTGGTCGTGGCCGTGGATATGGTCCATCGCCGATTTGATCAAATCCACAAATTTCACCGAGGGTATAACTCGAGCCAGGGATATAATCGTGGGCGAGGCCGTAACTATGCCCAAAAATGTGAAAGAGGGAGAAATTTCCAGCCAAAATTTGAACAGAATAATGTGACGAAGAATAATGATGAAAAGACATGTTATCGATGTGGAAGGACGGGGCATTGGGCATGAAATTGTCGTGCTCCGAGACAAGTTGTTGATAATTATAGCAATTCCCAGAAATCAAAAGATAAGAATATAGAAACCAATTTTGTGATTGGGGAATCTTCTGAAAATGATGCAACACGTGTGGATGATGACTATGACATTAATGACATATTGAACCTGGACTTTGCCGATGTGGTAGTTGAAGACCGAGCTGGAAATGACCAAGAGAATAACTGATGATCGTGTTTTTATTGCTTTCTTATTTTTTGTTGTATGTGTGTGCTTTTATCTGTATTTCGACTTTAATCAATGATACATGTTGTTTTTCTTTTAGATCATGGATCGATCTCGAATCCAAAATGGAGATATATGTCTTGCAGATTGTGCAACTACTCATACTATACTCAAGGACAGAAAATATTTCGTCAACTTGAAATTAAATAAAGCAAAGGTAAACACAATTTTCGGAAATGCAAAGATAATTGAGGGTTCTGGAAAAGCCATATTTTTTATGATGGGAGGTACAAAATTTATATTGAATGATGCATTATTCTCCCCAAAACCAACAAGAAACTTGTGGAGTTTTAAAGATATCCGAATGAATGGATACCACGTTGAAACAATGAATAAAGGGGGAGGTGAGTATCTTTGCATTACCTCAAATATTGCGGGAAATAAATGTGTTTTGGAGGAATTACCAGCTTTATCCTCGGGTTTATATTACACCCGCATTCATATTATCGAGACTTATGTTGCAACAAATTCACAGTCAGTTGAAGTGTTTAAACTTTGGCATGATCGACTTGGTCATCCTGGCTCAATAATGATGCGAAGAATTATCGAAAATTCTAGTGGGCATCCATTAAAAAATCAGAGGATACTGCAAACACACGAATTAACGTGTGCCTCATGTTCTCAAGGGAAATTGATAATAAGACCATCACATACTAAAGTCGAACATGAATCACGATTATTTTTAGAAAGGATTCATGGTGATATATGTGGACCTATTCATCCACTTTGTGGTCCATTCAAATATTTTATGGTGTTAATTGATGCCTCTAGTAGATGGTCTCACGTGAGTTTGTTATCCAATAGAAATGTGATTTGCTAAATTACTTGCCCAACTTATCAAATTAAGGGCTCAATTCCCAGATTATATTATCAAAAGAGTCAGACTTGACAATGCTAGAGAGTTTACATCCCAAGCATTTAATGATTATTGTATGAGAGTGAGAATTGATGTTGAACATCTTGTAGCACATGTTCACACTCAAAATGGTCTAGCAGAATCATTGATTAAACGACTGCAGCTTATAGCCAGACCATTGATAATGAGGACAAAACTCCCCACTTCAGTATGAGGATATGTTATTCTGCATGCAGATAACCTAATTCGCATAAGACCAAGTGCACACTATACATACTCGCCATTACAGTTGGCATCTGGTCGAGAACCAAATATTGCCCATATAAGAATTTCTGGTTGTGCAGTGTATGTACCAATTGCTCCGCCCCAACATACGAAAATGGGGCCTCAAAGAAGGTTGGGAATATATGTTGGATATGAATCTCCATCAATAATCAAATACCTTGAGCCAAAAACAGGTGACATTTTACAGCTCAGTTTGATGATTGTCATTTTAATGAAGAATTATTTCCCCCCTTAGGTGGGAATGAAAAGTCAATTGAAAGAAATATTGAATGAAGAACATCATCACTATCATATGTTGATCCTCCCACCAAACAAAGAGAACAAGAAGTTCAAAAGATCATACATCTGCAGAATATTGCAAATCAATTGCCAGATGCATTTACTGACACAAAAAGGGTGACAAAATCACATGTTGCAGCTATAAATGCCCCTGCTCGAATTGAAATTACAAAATAAATGGCAAATAACGATGTGCCCAATGAATTAAAGGCACGATTGAAACGAGGAAGACCAGTGGGGTCTAAAGATAAGAATCCTCGAAAGAAAAGAGAAATTCAAGATTCAAATTTGAAAAAGAATCAAGATGATGGAAAATTTTTGGCACGAAATGAAAATATTGAAATCTCCATAAATTACGTAAATAATGGGAAACTTTGGAAGCGTGATGAGATCATTGATGATGCATTCGCATATATGGTATCACAAGAAATTGATAAAGAAGTTGAGGATCCTGAACCAAAGTCTATGATTGAATGTCAGAAAATACATGCTTGGGACAAGTGGAAAGACGCTACTCAAGCCGAGTTAAATTCACTTAATAAACGAAAGGTTTTTGGACCTATTACCATTATACCCAAAGACATAAAACCTATTGGATACAGATGGGTTTTTGTTAGAAAAAGAAATGAGAAAAATGAGATTACAAGATATAAAGCTCGCCTTGTAGCACAGGGATTCTCCCAGAGGCCTGGGATCGATTATGACGAAACATATTCCCCTGTTATGGATGCAATTACTTTCAGATACTTGATTAGTTTGGCCATCCATGAAAATCTTGAGATGCGTCTCATGGATGTTGTGACTGCTTACTTATATGGATCACTAGACGCTGATATTTATATGAAAATTCCAGAAGAAATTAAAATACCCGAGGCGCTAAAGTCCAAACCTGAAGAGTTATGTGCGATAAAACTGCAAAGATCATTGTATGGCTTGAAACAATCCGGGCGTATGTGGTATAATTGTTTGAGTGAACAATTACTAAAACGGGGATACATAAATAATCAAATATGCCCGTGTGTTTTTATAAAAAGATCACAAGATGGAGTTGTGATAATTGCTGTCTATGTCGATGATCTTAATATTATTGGGACTACAAATGAAATCCAAGAAGCAGTCACTTTACTAAAAGGCGAATTTGAAATGAAAGACCTCAGACAAACCAAATATTGTCTGGGCTTGCAAATAGAACGAGTCCAAAATGGGATTTTGTCCACGAATCTAATTACACTAAATGAATATTGAAACGATTCAATATGGACAAGGCTAATCCACTTAGTACCCCAATGGTCAATCGAACATTAGATGTTGAAAAGGATTCATTTCGACCTTGTGATGAAGATGAATAAATATTTGGTCCTGAAATACCATATCTGAGTGCAATAGGGGCTCTTATGTATCTTGCTAATTGCACCAGACCAGATATATCTTTCGCTACCAATTTATTAGCAAGATATAACTCGGCACCTATAAAGAGACATTGGAATGGAATCAAGCATATATTCCGTTATCTCCAAGGGACAATCGATTTGGGACTGTTTTACTCTAATGATAAAAAACATGAAATAATCGGTTTTTCAGATGCAGGATATCTATCAGACCCCCATAAAGCAAGATCTCAAACCGGCTATGTTTTCACGATTGGTGGAACTGCATTCTCTTGGCGCTCCCAGAAACAAACGTTAGTTGCGACGTCTTCAAACCATGCTGAGATCATTGCACTTCATGAAGCAAGTAGGGAAAGTATCTGGCTAAGAAACATGATTCAACATATTCAACAAGCCAGTGGACTATCGAACAATAATGACCCGGCGGTGATATTCGAAGACAATGCAACATGTGTCGCTCAAACCAAAGAAGGATATATCAAGAATGACAGAACTAAACATATCCCGCCAATTTTCTTCTCATATGCGCAAGAGCTTGAAGAAACAAACAAATCAAAGTTCAATACTTCGATCAAGCGATAATGCAACAGATTTGTTTACGAAGGCGCTTCCGACGACAATGTTTCGAAAGCACGTACACAATATTGGAATGAGACATCTTCGGGATTTGCACGGATGATAACTCGAGGGGGAGTATGTGCGGCTGTACTCTTTTTTCCTTACCTCGGTTTTTTCCCACAGAGTTTTTCCAGATAAGGTTTTTAACGAGGCAGCATAAACGCACATTTCATAGTGGTAATTTCAAGGGGGAGTGTTATAATATGTGGAATTTACCACAAATAATAATAATAATATTATCTTTTACATTATTATATTGAAATGTGCATTGAAGTGTGTGCTAGTGTATGATTGAAAACTTAAAATTTGCCTATAAAAAGGGGCCAATGGGGCATTGTAAATTTTGCACAGAAGAAGTGAAAGAAAAGACAAATTATAATTTATATCCGGTTTTTACATTGTGTTCTTTATAATCCCCGCATTATATAACATTAACAACCAACTATTTGTTAGCCCTTTTCTCAATTGCAATCAAATATTTGTTAAAATGAGACCGTATATCGTTCAACAATATCTAAATGTATAGGTTGGACTGATTTAGTTAAAGTTTTGGCACATGATTATCTTGAAATATCATTTTTTTTTTTCTTTTTCTGAGATACACAAACAAGACACTTCAATTTTTTTATTTAAATTTACAAGAGAGAGAGA